GAACATACATCCCTTCTTTGCCGTTCTCGCCAGCGCGTTCTGGGGATGGTCATTCTACACTCTTAGTAAGTCACAGAGATGACAAACGTCAATCGTACTACACTGACACTCTAACTAGTTCTGATGACGCTCACGTACACCGAAGACGCCTACAAAACGTACTCAGCATCAGCTCTTGCCGGAATTGGACTTATTCGTAATCTTGCTGGTGCTGGATTCCCACTCGTCGGAAGACACCTGTTCTTGAACATAGGCACCAGGAACGCGAGTCTGGTACTGATGGCGATCGCCATTTGCCTAGCGCCAATACCATTCGTTCTTGAGAGAAGGGGCGTATCATTGCGCAAGAGAAGCCCATGGGCGGTCGCGCATGAAGATGAGGACGAGAACAGCTGAACCTAATACCGCTTGCGACAGTTGTCTCGCATTGTATGGGGCTCAGTCTGTTCTGTTGTGGGAAGGCGTTGATGGCGCGTCAGATTCATGCTCCAAGTTCAAAGGATTTGGCTGTCATACGCCTCGACTATGGACCACCTGTACAACACCTCACACGTTGAGGATGGTCGCAGTGCGCCCAGTCAAGCAGAATTGTCTTCGCAACCTTGGAAGTCTATACCTGGGCAAGAACGTGGAATGGATTTCTGTACCCGACGAACTCCACATTAGAATCGAATCAGAGAACCCTGGTCTATTCGCGTTCAATCTTTCCATCAGCCACTGATATGCATACCTCGTTACTCAGCCCTGCAGTCGTCTAGGCAGCGGCAAGTTAGCGACCCAGATGGTTCGATCTCGCGCACGTGACATTCACTACACAGCAAACCCAGCACACCCATTGGACAAAACAGAGCATGACGGCTACCCAAAATCAGCATAACAACGTTTCAACCACAACAAAACGTGTTGTTTCGGATCTGCCCGTGGTTTTAGCGCGTAATCCCATTGAACGTTACGGGCCAACCAACGCGTCGCGCAGCCGAGAGGGTCGGCGCGTAACGCTAGATCTCGCGCTGCCGACTACCCACCCGCGTATCCACCTGAGATATTCTTAGACCGTACGAAGTCTACATATGAGGCTCTGCTCTTGCGATGACAGTACAGTATTCAGCAACTTCAACCATCTTTCTTTCCTTCAGTCGGTTTTCATTCGGTTCTTTTCTTTTGAGTCTGTTCTGTGAACAACTCTGTGTTTCATTCGCGACATAACTTGCTTGTTTCCTTCAGTCAAGTCTCAGCATAGCGACGGAGTTGTTCTCTTATCCATCGTCTTTCGTCATTTTCCGTTTTCTTGTTGCGAGAGACATTTCGACCAGCGCGCAAGTCGTGTCTAGTACCTACAACGACATCTCGAATTACGACTACACAGCGACTTATCTACGAAACGTTCGCAAAACTACTCGACAGCCTCTTCAGGAATTCCGATTATTCGCGTCAACACGATAAACTCTCCGTAACATCACAACAATGTCGTGCCAACCGTTCACTTCGGTCCCTCAACCACCCACCAACCTCCCGTCGTGCGCCGTACCTGTCGGTGGCTCGAACTCTTCAATACTAGATGCATGCTGCAACGGGCACATCAACGCGATCGCGACTTATTCCGCTCCCGACTCAACCACATCATCACCATCCGCGTCCTCAACCCCAGTCATCGTCAACTCCGAAGACAACGACGGCTGCTTCCAATACTGCATCACCGATTCACCAGACATCGTCCAGAGTTGCTTGGCACAGAAGATGGAAGAATACGAGAAAGAAGGTGCACGTGGCATGGGCATGTTCGGCTGCTTCAACACGGACAAGGCGGTCGGTGCGAGAAAGGTCGATGAGGAGCGAGGATATGCTAGTGCGGGTGTGAGAATCAGTGGGGGTGCGAGTTGGGTGGTATCAATGCTGTTGGGTCTGAGTGTCATTGGTGCAGTTGTGGGAGGCATTTGAGTTCCATTGAAGAGATCGGTACATGGCAAGACCGTGGAAAGATGCGAGGTGTTTGGCCGAGTTGTATACCCAGTGGTTTTCTCTAGCATCTCCTACCGCTGACGCTGGACGTAATGAATAATGACATATTCCAATTCCTTGACTATAGTAGCGGTGTGGAACGACAACAGTGATGAGATCTACGATACGATGATTTGAACGACTTGGTTGCGCATCCGAACCGCAGAGATATCCGTCCAGTCCCAAAAGTAAAAAGTAAAATTTCCCCAGCCTCAAATCGTCTTCGACACCTACAAAGGCGGTGAGTGAGCAAAGGCAGACATTCCCCACACTCACAAAGCGCCTCAACAACATTGTGTGCAAGGAACACGGGCGCAGATCCCATCATGCTTGCACTAAGTAGTGGTGTAGTGGCTGCGATAAATTATCAACAGCTGTGGTGTTTCTTCTTACAACTACCGTCTGAGCCTGTCAACCGGAGACCATGTCAGCAATGCCGGAGCAACCACACATCGTCAAATACTGTGACCAAGAACTGATGCACCCACAACCTCGGCATCCGGTGCCTATTGTCGAAATAGAAAGAATAGCAGCCAACGCTGAGAAACAAGCTTCTCCAGACCTAGCCTTCGCATCGCAGCAACAACCACAGGCGCAGCAAGAGCAACGGCCACAACCACAAACGAAACCAGACCAAATTCCCCAACGAAAGCGAAAAGACAGCGCGGCACCTTCATTATATTGCGACTCCCCCGTCTTAGAAAAATACGAGCAAGCTTCTGCAAACGAGCTGCTTGATGCCTCACACTCGCCTAAGCATGTGCCGGAGCATTTCTCCAACTCGGGCCTATTAGAAGCTGGGTTCAACCAGGAGACTTCTCGCAGAAATTCCAATTGGCGTCGCTTCTTTTGTAAGCCCCTGATCGTGAAAGATTCTGATGAGAAGTATCGCTAAACTTTCCTCCAGATGGTTCTCTAGAGTTCTTGATTCCTTTTGGAAGTGAATGGGATAGTCCGTGTTTGGCGTCCCGGAGGACTTCTGTTTGAAACGCGTCGAGAGCGCGTACGCTACTTATGAATGAATGAAATCTTAACATGAGGTCTTTCCTTTGATGAAATTGCAAGCTTGATGTGTACCTGATGGGCCTGTGGCTGAGGGGCAGCCGATGTGGAGACGAGGGAAAGTTCCCCGCGACAATTTAGCGCTATCGCACCCCTGCCGCCGATGCGGAGCGTCATATCTTTTTCTCGAACGCGCAAACAGTCACAGCCCAATTCCACACGTTATTCTCTCATAGATCTCAAGATGGCATCCGAAAAGAAGGTAGCAGAGAACATGCTTTGGGGAGGTCGTTTCACAGGTTTGTGCAGCCATTGGTCTATTGAGTCCATCGACACTTGAGATGACTGGTGCTAAGACGCGTTGCAGAGGGCCTCGACCCAGTCATGGAGCAATACAATGCGTCCCTCCCCTACGACCGTCTCTTCTACGCCGAAGATATCGCCGGCTCTATCGCATTTGCCCGCGCAAACAAGAACAATGGCATCCTCACCGCCGACGAGTTCGCAGCCATCGAGAAGGGCATGGCCCAGATCAAGGAGGAGTGGGCGTCAAACTCCTTCGAGGTCAAGGCGAACGATGAAGACATCCACACCGCCAACGAGCGACGGCTAAGCGAGATTATCGGCAAGGACATCGGAGGCAAGCTCCACACAGGGCGAAGCAGGAACGAGCAAGTCGCGACCGACATGCGGTTATGGCTGAGGGAGCAGCTCAGGACGCTAGAGGGCTACCTGAAGCTCCTGATCAAGACATCGGTACAGCGAGCCGAGGCTGAGATCGACGTGCTCATGCCGGGCTACACACATCTCCAGAAGGCACAGCCCGTCCGGTGGTCGCACTGGATCCTATCGCATGCCACCGCTTTCGCCTCCGAGCTCGAGCGCCTCCGCGAAGTCATCAAGCGCGTCAACCGTTCCCCACTCGGCTGCGGCGCGTTGGCAGGTAACCCCTTCAACATCGACCGCGACGCCATGGCCAAGGAACTTGGGTTTGAGGGCCTGCTCACAAACTCCCTCAACGCTGTCGGAGACCGCGACTTCGTCTTCGAGACACTACAATGGGGCTCGAGCTTCATGCTCAAGATGTCGCGCTGGGCGGAAGATCTGATCATATACTCGAGTCTGGAGTTTGGCTTCGTGCGGTTGGCTGATGCCTACTCTACTGGTAGCTCTCTCATGCCCCAGAAGAAGAACGCTGATTCTTTGGAACTCATCCGAGGAAAGAGCGGTCGTGCTTTCGGACACATGGCAGGCTTGTATGTCACCATCAAGGGTCTTCCTACGACCTACAACAAGGATCTGCAGGAGTCTGTTGAGCCTCTAATCGACCACATCAAGACGGTCAGCGATTCCATTCAGATCGCCACCGGTGTTCTGTCGACCCTGAAGATCAACGCCGACAAGATGCACGCTGCACTTGCCCCAGAAATGCTGGCCACAGAGTTCGCAGACTACCTTGTCCGGAAGGGCGTGCCTTTCCGTGAGGGTCATCACATCTCCGGCCGTGTTGTTGCGCTAGCAGAGGACCAGAACGTTCCCATGGACAAGCTGAGCTTGGAGCAGCTGAAGGGTATTGACTCCAGGTTAGGCGACGACGTAGTTGAGTGCTTAGACTACGAGCGCGCGGTAGAGCTGAAGAACGCCACTGGTGGCACAAGCAAGAGTGCCGTCATGGAGCAGATCGACATCTTGAAGACGATACTCTAGAGTAGAGGTTTGCCAAGCGACGCCTAAAACGGGTTTAGACAAAATTCACGGTGGTCACAGGTTATGAGAAATGAGAAATGATTACTACACCACTAAGATGTCGAGTGGTGATGAAGGCTGTCGCATGCGTGCGCTGGTTGCATGTGCTTACCCCACTTCATCTAGCCAGCGGATCCGCGTTCACATCGCAATGAGCCATATGCTGTGAGACAGATCTAGATTTACTGCAACTGACTCGCATCTCACTTCTAGGACAATCATTAGGGTCGAGAATCTGTCTAACTAAAGTTACCATGCAACCAGATCCACACAACACCGATGTCGTCGCCAACATAAACTACTTCCCTGCCACCGGCATCCCCATCACCAAATCAGAATGGAAAGTCAAATACCTCGACGACAAAGATGAATACACTCGCCCCATGCTCATCCGCGACGTACGAAAAGCGAATAAGACATTCGACCTAGACGTCAACGGCTTCGCATTCGTCACACTACCACAAAAGCAGAGAGTAGACCGACACAGCAGCGAAGAAGACGTAAAACGAGAATACTACCCAGAGTTGGAAGAAGTAGTCAAGAAACTGTATGAACCCTTACCCCCATCCTCCATTACAGACATCAAGATCTCAGCACACAAAACTAACACCCTCAGAACCGGCGCCTCAACCGTCCACGTCTTCAACCACGTAATCCGCGCACACACCTCCCCCTCTGCAAAGGGCATCCAAGACGCCCTCGGCCGATGGCAAGACATTCCCTCCGGCCACCCCCACGTCGACTACGCGGGCTCCGCATCCGCCCTCAGCGGTACACTTACTGAACTCTCGCTCCCACCCCACATCAACGATCTCTTCACAACATCCACGCGCTACGCCTTCCTCAACTGCTGGCGGCCCCTCAAACGCGTGCGTCGGGACCCGCTGGCCGTGTGCGATGCGAATACGGTGCCGGAGAGTGATTATCAGGTTAGGTTGAGGGAGTTTAGTCGTACGGGGAATAGGAGTGAGAATTATGTTATTAGTTGTGGGGTGGGGGAGAAGGGAGAGAAAGAGGATGAGGGAGTAAGAATGGGGATGGGGGAGGGGAAGGGGCATGAGTGGTGGTATATGAGTGGGATGCAGCCGAGGGAGATGGTTGTGTTCAAGGGGTTAGATTCGAGGAGGGAGGAGAGGGGGTGGAGGTGTCCGCATACGGCGTTTAGGGTTGGGGGGAGTGAGGGGGAGGAGGCGAGGGAGAGTATTGAGGCGAGGGTTGTGGCGTTTTGGGAGTAGGAGTTCGGGGTGTATGGGAGGGGGTGATGGCGGGGAGTGGGTAGTACATCTTTGTGGTACCTGCAATTTTAAGGCTTTCTCCTAGAGATTTTATCTGTGATTTATTTCGCAACGAGCTATCTACAGTGCTTGTTCTGCGTTCCAGAGTAGATATTGCTATCGGTGTGCTACTGATTGAGTCCTTCCCTCGTCGCTTTCCCTGGAATGTGTTCGAGAAGTAGACATGCCTCGGTGTCGGCACAGATCACTAATAGTTGGTCCACAGTCCCGGCCGCGCCGGTCTTGATCGAAGTGAACCTAGGCGTATGTTGGAGGTAGACAGTGGCCTCGGGGGTCTCTCAGGCCGTTCGCGTATGCTGGGTAGATCGTGAAGAGAGCTTGGTCTGCGTAGGTGCTCGCTGTTTCGTCGCGGTACATCAAGGAATCGGCTAGTCGTCCTAGTTTCCGCCTGATTGCTGGCTCTGGAATCCGACTGACCACTTGCCATCGCAGCCTGCTGTTCATCGTGGAGGTATTTTGTAAAGACGAAATCTCTCCACTTGAGCTCTTTCTTCAAAGCGATAAACTTTGGCTCTGCATAGACCTCTCGGTTGATTTTGGCCATGCCGTATTTGCAATGCTTGTTGTTGTAATCTTTAATTGCCCTGCCGAGCACTAGCCGAAGCGCTTCGCACGACCTTGTCCCAAGCTGTGCAACAACCATATCGTCAGAGACGAGTCGACGTGCAAGTAACTTCTGACTCTTGTCCATACCCAGTTTCCCCGGTAGAAGACCGCGTCCCCGCGTCCAAAAGGATGGCTTAGTGTAGAGTAATGTCTTGTGATGGTTTCCACCTTCGCACCTGTGCAACCGGAAAGCGTACAGCTGCTCGAAGACGTAAGCGATGTCGACTCCAATAGTTCGTGCTGGCTCCATGATGAAAGTGCTGATGAACTCGCGGTCGCTATCCTTTAGCAGACTCTGAGTATTATCAACCACAGTCTCACATGCTTTGTGAATGACATCAGCGTATTCGAGAACTACGCGCGTTCCTTGAAAAGTCAAAAGGCTGGTATTTCGCGCGGAGAGGTTCGTGGTGGACAGTTTGGGCGAACATGCAGCGAGCGCATAATGGAGCTCGTGAAAGTCGACGTCGTAGCTGTACACCAGGATGTCGACGAGAAGACGGACAAGGAGATCGACTGCGGCAGGCTTGTCTTGAGGAAGTTCCAAGTTTGTATCGTGGCCTGAGATTTGTTCTGGCCCAAAGGGATAAGACTCCAGGGGGTGGTGGGAGGTTTCGATCGAATTCCGCGGTGTGATAGGAGGGCGATGGCTTGCGCTGTAGGTTTGCTTTGTTGGTCCTGCACTCAGGTGCCCTGTGGCCTCCTGAGACAGTTCCGGCATTACGAAAGCCTTCTCTGACGAAATGAATACTGCCGAGGATGGCGAGAGACGACACTGATACCGATTGCGACTGTCCGCAGGTTTGACAAAGAGGAATGGAGAAAGGTCAATCACAATCACGAGGGCGCCGCTGAGACCCTTTTGAACTTCCTTACATCGAACAACGTAACCATCGTCAAGTTGTGACCTGTAGGGGTCCAAAGCGGAGTCGTTGGCCGTCTGACTGGCCACCCACAGCCATGTATTGCGCGACTTCTGGCATCTCAGCGGATGATTTGTTGAGAGAGGCTGAATCACATATTCAGGGTCGATGATGATGGTACTATCCAGCTTGCCTCTACCGTAAGTGACATTCACAGTAGACCGATGCGACACCTGTCCCTACCAAAGCATCGATTAGGAGAGAAGGCTGAAGATGTGATCAGCTCGAAGACACAGGCGACGTAAGTCGGATCCATCGCGAGATATTGCATCGAAATGATGAATGAATTGCTGAAGTGAAATTGGTGGAGGTATGGAGTTGAGCATGTGAAAGCAGAAGGCGAGGGGTGAATGCAGGGTGGCAGGGGTGTGCAGCATGACGCCACAGCCGAGGAGCCAAAATTACTCGGGCTGGCTTATCGATTAACAAAATTATCGCCGTCCCACTCTCCACCACCCACCAGACAGTGCAGCGCCGAGTTTCTGACACCGCATAGTCAAGGTGGCGTCGATTCCTTTCCGATTCAAATCAGGTGGCAGCGGCAACAACATGGCGCCCATGGCTGCGACAGCGCACCACCACCGGAGCACGACCAAGAAGGACAAGAAGGGCTTCAAGTCCCGCCATGCCACCAAAGGCGCGCTGAAGGAGCAGAGCAAGGGCCAGTCGCTCCTTCCCCGCCACCGCGCCTAACTCTGCTGACTGTTTCTTCTAGGCAAGGTCAACTCCCTCTCGTTCGAATTCGGCAGCCGCAAGACTCCTCACCAGCAAGTCATGAGCAAGTTCGACCGCCGCAACCGCGCCAAGCAGATGCGCATCAACAAGGACCACGAGCACGCAAAGTCGTCCAACGTATTCGCTGGGAAAGATGGCGCGCCGAGGATCACCGCCCTCATCCCGCTATGTTCGGATGTCTCTACCGCCGAAGCTGTCCGCAGCCTGAACGCCAGCCTGGACATTGAAGAGGAGGTTCCCGAGGCGGGATGGACACGCACAAACGTCGACCGTTTCAAGCAAAAGGTGCAATATCTGATCGTAAAGAGAGATCTGCTGGCGGCTCTCGACGCCTGCCGTGTCGCCGATTTTGTCGTCTTCATCCTCTCGGCGCACGAAGAGGTCGACGCAGAGGGCGAGCTGATCATGAAGTCGGTCGAAAGCCAGGGTATCTCAAACACCTTTACCGTGGTGCAAGGATTGGACAAAGTCGAGCCCGCCAAGGCCAGGCCTTCAGTCGTTTCGTCGCTCAAATCCTACATCACCCACTGGCTACCCGCGACCGAGCGCGTCTACTCTCTCGACAACCGCCAAGAAGCCGCAAACCTCGTCCGGTCGCTATGCACAACTACCACAAAGGGTGTCAGGTGGAGGGACCAGAGGAGCTACATGTTCATCGAGGATATCGCGTGGCCTGGAGGCAAGTCGGCCGTCAACGCGGACGGCACGGGTGATGTTGTCATTACCGGTGTCGTGCGCGGGCTTGGGTTAAAGGCCGACAGGCTAGTACAAGTGGGAGATTGGGGTGACTTCCAAGTCGACAAGATCGTAGCCGCTCCACTAGAGACGAGGAAGAAGCACAAAGAGGAAGAGATGGCTGTTGACACAGAAGGCGATGGGATCCTAGAGCGTCCCACAGAAGACCAGGATGACCTAGCAGATCTCGCACCAGAGGAAACAATCATGGACGATGTGACCAACTACGCCACGTCTATTGCGCCTTCTGAGCGCAAGGGCGTCTTGCTAGACGACCACCACTATTTCTCAGACGAGGAGGAGGAGGTCGCGCCCGCCAAAAAGAGGCGGTTACCAAAGGGCACAAGTGAATACCAGTCCGCATGGTATCTCGATGACATGTCCGACTCGGGCTCGGATCTGGAAGATTTCGACGACATGGAAGTTGACGAAGACGCCCAGAGCCAGCCTGCGCACCCTGCAGATGGTGTAGAGGGCATGGACGTCGATGGGAAAGCTATGACCGAGGGCGCTCCTTCAGAATATCCCCAATCGGAGATGTTCCTAGACCCATCACCAGAGGACGAGGCTGCACAAATCGAGGAGTACCGGAAGTCCAGAAAGACAGAAGAGGACGAAGATCTCGAGTTCCCTGACGAGATCGAACTACACCCCAATGTGAATGCGCGAGAGCGTCTCATTCGCTACCGAGGACTGAAGAGTCTAAGGAACAGCACATGGGAGACGGAAGAGGATCGACCATACGAGCCAGAGGAGTGGCAGCGGTTGCTCGATATTTCCGACTACAAACGTACAGCCACCAAGTTCATGCGCGAAGCCTGGGCTGGCGGTGTCAAGCCCGGAACTCGGGTCAGCGTTCACATTCGCGGTGTCCCGTTACAGTTCCAGGAGATGCAGTCACGGCCAATGGCCATGTTCTCGCTCCTCAGACACGAGCACAAGCGCACAGCCGCCAACTACAGCATACTGCTCAGCTCTGAGCATGATGGCCCGATCAAGTCGAAGACTGAGATGATCGTACAGTGCGGACCAAGGAGGATAGTAATCAACCCTGTAAGTCACCTTAGTCCTCTATTCTATCCCTCAATACTAATAGTATCCAGCTCTTCTCCCACGCCGGCAACACACCAAACAACGTGCACAAGTTCTCTCGCTTCCTCCACCCCGGCCAATCGGCCATTGCATCTTTCATCGGACCTTTAACCTGGGGCAACGTCCCTCTCCTCTACTTCACTCGCACAACCCCCTCTCCCGACCATCCTTCCTCCCTTCGCCTAATCGCGACCGGAACATCCCTCCCACCCTCCACCAACCGCATCATCGCCAAGCGCATCATCCTGACAGGCCACCCGTACAAGATCAACAAGCGCGTCGTCACAGTGCGCTACATGTTCTTCAACGACGGCGACGTCAAGTGGTTCAAGAGCTTACCGCTGTGGACGAAGCGCGGAAGGAGCGGTTTCATCAAGGAGAGTCTGGGTACGCACGGATACTTCAAGGCTACTTTCGATGGCAAGATCAGTCCTATGGACGCTGTTGCTGTTAGTTTGTACAAGAGGGTTTATCCTAGGGGGGCGAGAGCGTGGAGGGGTGAACTGGAGCAGGCAACTGAGATGGAACAAGCTGCTTAGAGGTTTACGACGCGTCAATGACTTTTATGATATCATGGGGTTTTAGATAGGCTAAAATGGGTATGGAGTTTTGTTGTTCGTCTTCCATAAGTTACCTCAATCAAGTGTCTATGAACCACATCCGTGAAGTGAACGCCCTAAAATGCTCATACAGAAGGATGCTTCTCACCGCCAACGCCGATACAAGTCTGAAACAGCATTAAGCCAATTCTTCCCAGACTCACTTCCTCGCAAACCTCTCAAGCGCCGGTCCATAATCCTTCTTCAGCCTCTCCTTCCTCTCAATCTGCCGCTTCTGCATATTCTTCAA